AACTTAAGTCCCCAATCTGTCTAAACGAGCTGTGGTATATTGTCAAAGACATCAAGCAGGACCTTGCTTGTGTTTGTGGATATCGCACTTCCTTATTAATGAAGGAGTGCTGGACTGCTGTGTATTCGGCACTCTGGCCCATGTTGCACAGAGGCTATCCGTCTTTCCCTTTTGCTCCTTTGCCTTTCATTCTCTCACACACTAAAACTCAAAGCTCACTCCATTTCCAGAGAGCAAAAAGAGAAACCATAAAAAGCAATAGAACAGAGGGAGAGAAAAACAGCATTAAGCATTCAATTGTAAACAAACCCTATCCAGTCTGCAGTTATCTAATTGCATGTAAACCTCGCTTTAAGCATAGAATTTGAATGTAAAATACTCAGCTGGCAAAATCATGCATGCATGTACAGAGATGTGGGATACTCCATTTAAATTATGGTATCCTTTTAATAGCTGAGCCGACACTAAAGCATGGCAAAACACACGCATGTGTAGGTTGCGTATATAACTGTAAGTGATAAATGAGGGTGCAGAGCCTGTAAAGGTCACATAGGATATGATCCAATCATTTCCGCAGGCTGCAGACAGACGGACTGGTTATGAGCCCATCAACAAGTCAAAACTGGAAAACAATTTCTGCAGCTGCATCTTCAGAAAGAAATAACAATAATAATACAATCCCTCTGTCATCTGTGGTAATCTAATATATTTTGGAAGAAAGGATACAAATACAAAAGACATAAGTCCCTGTGGTGGTAATTAAAGAATATTGTGGTAATATCACAGCATATTAAAAAACAAAAAACACCATTATGGACAATAAGGTCGCAGACCCATTGAGTAGGCCACTGCACAGAGCGCTTTCAGTCCCTGTTGGAATATTAGAGTGATTTTTCATGAGGGATTCTGGGGCCGCATTGTGGGTGCTACACATGTATTATTGATGCCGGCGGTTCAAAAGCAGTTTGTTTGTTGAGAAGTGGAGAGATTTATAGAAGACCTAATGGTTTCCACTTCTACAGTCTAGATTACAAAAACAGAAGGTTTTTTATTCTTTATCTGGCTGCAGGGTGAAATCCCCAAGAGAGGAAAACACAATCAAAAGGTTAGAATTTATTTTCTGCAGAAAATGTCTTTTGGCTTTTTTTCTTTCTTGTGACAGTTAGTGACACATGGCAAGGCATGGACAATAAGACACCATTAGTATGTTTTTATAACTGACTGAAGGGACAGATCATCAGAAGAAAAGAGGAAACAATAACATGATAATCTACGTGTGAAACACATATTGACTATTTGTAAAAAGACATGGCAGCAGGATTTTGTGTTGGATGATAGGGTTTAACAGATTTTTCAATACAATGGATCAATGGCCATTAAGTTGCTCCTCATCTCTTACAGAGAAAGAAGAGATGAAAGCACCGAGGATCACATTCCCTTTTCCAACAAATGGAAGTGGATCACCACCTAATCAAAGACTGCCATTCTTCCAATAAAAGCCTGGTGGCGGTGAAGGGTCAACGCTCCTTTATCAGGCGACAGCAGGCAAAGATATGACTGTGAGAGGGCTTTGTGACGAAGCGGAGCTGTGTGGCCCTCTAAATGTGACACTATTATTTCCTTACACAACAGAAAATGGTTTACAAGAAGTGTGAGTCTGCAGCACGAGTGTGAGAGTGCAAAATCAAGAGAAACAGAAAAGGACATCCTCACTGCTCCTTTTTCTAGATGAGCATCTCTCTGAGCCTCACTTGATCGCTTGTAAACATTTTCATCAGCTAAAGACTGGAAATGAACTTAATAAAAAGTTAGTGCCACAATAAAATCAAGAATGCAGTAGAGGGTATAATCCCCAAATGTAATCAACCATCATTGAATTTTTAGAAGGTTATCCATCCACCTTTTGTGTAGAATCGTTAACGACTTAAAAAACACTCAGTAACCATAAGACATAATAAACTGTTGTAAAACAGGGTCATTTAAGGGTGCAGTTTATCTACGTGCTAACTGAAAACACAGTCCACAAATACACACACACAGTTGTATTTGTAACAGATGACTTCCATAACACTCCTGTGTACAAAATATTTTAATATTCATAAACACAAATTGAGTTTTGGAATGTGGCGCTAAGGTTATAATTGGCATCTGTATGTATTCCCCACCTCTATCCTCCAGCTCACTGTGTCAAATGAAAAGCAGTGCAGGGACACCTTGCAGACAGGTGGCCTGCTGTGATGTGGAAACCTATTAACTCAAGTTTAGGTGATTCTGTGTTCACTTTAATTATTTGGGGAAGTTAGAATGCTTATGCTCTTCAGTAAACAAACTAAAACTATAAGTCATTTAAATGTTCTGATTTTCACGGTCGCATTAAATGTGAAATGTTGAAGATAGGAGATTTGAGTATCAGAAATTGAGTATTACGTTGTTAATGATCATTAAAAAGCATTGTTGGATGCATGCTTTCATCCAACAACCTTATGAGAAAGGTTGCAAGTGAGCGTTTCCCTATAACATTGTACATTATGCATTATAACAATCCTCAGGCTACAGCCTGCATACAACAGCGAATAACACAGGCAGCAACTCGTTCGCGCGCGCATTTTCACACAAAAACACAAGCGCACATACATTTCATCCCTTTGCCTTTCTCTGCATTTTTATTCTCACAGACAGATGCTAAACCGCGTTTAAGCCGATATGTGTATAACCTGCTCTTACTACGTTTGTCTCGGACTCTCTTTTGTGTTCCCTTAACTTCCAAATTCATTTTTTACATAATTGTGGAGCCCCAGCAGGGGATGGGATTAGCCTGTCTGAGAAAAAGACAAACGCCAGTGTCAGCTTGCTGGATTCTCCCGTTTCCGAAAAATGCACCAGGCAGGCTTTTTGAAACACTTAGTCTTATCTCGCATCTCTATTTTCAATTATTTTTTATTTACAACAAATCTGCTTTTCCTGCCCGCCAGATTTTATGGACACGTACTGCAAAATAACAATCCTTTATGAATCGTACAAAATAAATCGAAACCAAGGCATTCCAAAATATGTATGAAAACAAGGACGTTTTTTTTCTGAAATGCCCAAAATAACCCACAAATACAAAACCTTGAATACGTCTTCGGACATACTGGGAGGAGGGGGCTGTCGCCGAAAGACATGTGCCAGTGTGTCCTTCAACATGCTTTTGACAAGTGAAACAGAATATTAAAACATGCTATTTTCTGGCTACCTTTTTTCTACAAAGGGAGGGAAATGACAGGAGGACACGCACTTCTCTCTAGTTTTCTCTGTGCGTTAAGCTGTGTGCACAGTATACTCACTGGTTTTAGGATCTATCAAATGTGTACGTTGCAAAAAATGTCTCATTCAGAGTTGTATTCTTTTCAATTAAACAACAATCTGTTCTAATTGGGCTTAGGCTGTGAGAAAAACCATTTCACTTGTTTTAAGAATTTCAAACTGCAAAAATAGACCTATCCTCTCCTTAAAAACAACTTAATGACCAGAGAAAAACAACGTGACACAGAATGGGCAAAATAGGAATTATCTCACATAAATTACTTATTTCCAACACTGGCTGGGACAATTAAATAAATAAAAAAAGATTTCCATTGCACTCTCATTGCGTAAGATGTTCATTCATTTGTTTTCTTTATTTACGGTTTAATCCAATATTCTCATATCAGTCATGCCAAACAAGTATTCTACATAGGTGGATCACACACAGGGGGGCTTGCAGGGGGTCTACTATACCGTCACTAAAAAATGAGAAACGAAATTTATAAAAGGGAGAGAACCTGCGTAAAAATCAAGGATATATCCATATTCTCTCCAGTTCTCATTCTCGTCCTGCCCGAATGTAAATATGTATGTGGATGAGGATATTTTATTTATCCATTTGGCAATAGTTGTTGTTTACCAGCACTTCATTCTCTCTCTCTCTCAAACACACGGTAAGCGCACCTTTACTTCCCTGTGCGTAAAGAGCGCCGCTGCACTGTACACACGGTACTGCCACTGCCTGTGTGAAGTCCTGTGCGCAACAACGCAGACTGTCAAACTGTGGCCCACGGGATCCCTGAGGGGGCTCACTATAAAATGAGGAATAATGTAATTTCACGGTAATCCGCTTTGCTTTGATCCCGATTAAAGAATGCATATGAATGAATGTGCACACTGTTATCACCCTCTGCGCAGGTAAGGCATTTACACAGATCAGAGCCAAAAAAACAATATCATATTTCCAAACCCTGCAGGACTTTTAACCTAAAATTGATCAAAAATATTGCCCTTGGAATGACAACGCCTGCGAAGCATAGATATATTGAAAACAACCTGCTGTGCAATAAACGAACGTTTCAAATAAATAAGGGGGGAAAAAACGATAGAGGTGTGACAGTTTTGTATCGCTACTACTGTATCATTGTCATTCGGGGATGAACTAGTCTTGAGGGGAAGAAAGAACAGAGGAAAAAACGAACTTTTGAAACACATCAGACAGCTTGTCTAGCGACATGAAGACAAGAGCACAGTAGCCTGTTGTAAAGCGAGCTGTCACTCCTCTGTGTTTGTCCACACTGTGTCTGAAAGGACACGTGCTTTGGACAATAAATGCTCTCCTTTGCCTCTAAATTCAACAGTGCCGCTCTGTGCACAACGAAGACGGAGCGAGTAACTGGCACGGATTCACTCAGCCCATCGTAACACATACAACCTGCCATCTGCTCAAACCTGCACCTGTGTTTCAGCAGCACGTCAGCCCCCTTTCAGGTAAATACTACGGCTGTGACTGAGACGTTTCATCAACATTATGGGGCTGACTGATAGTGGAAATGACAACTGCAGGTGTAGAATGTTTATGTCAAGTGCAAATACCCTTTATATACGTGCATAAACAGAGCAAAAATAAGCTCTATTGATAGTTTTGCGACTGTGCGCACCGAGCAGCACACACACAACTGCGCACCGGGGAGCACACGCTAGCGTCCACTCACCTGATTGTGAAGAGCTCGACCCGAACAAGAGGCAAGTGAGGAGAAAGCCGAAGCAACACAGGGCAGTTGTTGGTTTCATGGTTCTGCTGGGCAAGTATCTCCTTTAAATTCACATGTCCAGCAGCGTATCCTTCCTTGAAACAGCCAGAACGGATGAGTCGTTTGTAGCCTCTTCAGCCTGGGAGTTTGGGGACTTTAGTCGCTTTGACTAAGTTTACAGTTTGTCCGACAGTCTTCCGCCTCGCCTCGCGGTGCCTGATGGGCTAATTAGGGACTGGCGTGAACGCAGAAAGTGTCGAATGTTAGTTTCCAACGCGCGCACTGGAAAGCTTGTCTAAACAGTAAAAAGCAGTACTCATGCCATTACTCCCCGACTTGGATACAGTATGCAGCTGTAGACTCGTATTCTTCAGACACACCTCCGAGCTGCTGAGCTCCTCCCACTAATTCTGTGATTGGCACAGGTGCATGACAATCAACCTAATCTCCGACGGACACAACTCCATACGCGCTGCTATTGGTTGACTCAAGATGCCAAAACTTCATGAATTTGTGCGTCGGCTCCGTTGCACCTGTCACACTGAACACAGCCGAGATGAACGCTGTGCGAAGGATTTATAGGCGTAATGGGTGAAATCGAGCTGAATATCACTGACAGGTGGCTTTCACATGTGCTTTTGAAGATTGTATTCAGATTTGATATAATATGGTCTCATATTGGAGGTGTTTGTGATTTAATTCTGAATTTAACTCAGCACTGTGTTTGAGAGTGAGGTGAGAGTATGCATAGTACTATATATATATATATTTTTTTTTTATCAGGATAATAGTAATTAATTTAGCGTTCTTAAGTTTCTTTATTTTTTATAAATAACATGATGAGGCAAATAGGAGGAATTTTGGAGGCACAGTTATGACACAATGTACTTTTTTCATACTCTTAAGCAGGGATTTCCATTTTGCCTTCAGTTATCAGAGTACATTACAGTTGAAGGCAATATCTCTCTATATCCAGGGTAATCATTTATCAAGGGTGGCTCAGTGTAAATGACAAATAAAAGTCAAATAGAACGTTTAGATAGTGACGTTATTGTGCTCACTGAGCTATTTGTAATAGTTTGACTTTGTGGTGACAGAATAAATAACTAAGATAATAGGAGCATATAGGAAACAATGTGACAAAAGGTTATTACTTTCTGAACCAGCTGCTGCCTACTTTCACACTTTTAGAAGAAGGGTGAACGCCTCCTGTGGTTCACAATATGCCTGCACATCTGGATAGGAATCATGCACTCTGACTGTCCCCCGACCCTAAGTTCTCCACACACACACACACACACACTCACACTCACACTCACACTCACACACACACACTCACACTCACACTCACACTCACACACACACACACACACACACTCACACTCACACTCACACTCACACTCACACTCACACTCACACTCACACTCACACACACATGCAACCACAGTCTAAAAAGGCTTAAAATACTTTAATATTGTTTATGATGTTCATCTTAGGCTGTTTTTCTTGTGTAACCAGGTAAAATAGGGGAATCTTACCCCCAACTGTCCATAATTAAGCCATCTACTTAAGTTGAAACACAGTATAGACTCTGATGTGATTATATATGTAATGCACCTTAACAGAATTGCAAGCACGTTTTATAATTATGGTGTCTTTTGAGGGACAAAAGCAATAGTTCTTATAGCTTTATTATGACTGTAGGCACCCCACCTTCCCTTTGATTCTACATGATCAAAATACATGCCTGTGTAATGACTTACTCAAGTTCAGAAATATCCTTCTTTTAGCAATAGGCATGTCAATCTCCTTCAGAAATTATCCAAAGCATTAGCTTGCTTTTAATAGGGAGGCATACCGCCGCCCACACACACACCCACTGCCTGGCCCGGTGCTTTTTCTGATCCTGGAACAGTGAGCTGAACTTCCCTGAGCCAAGTGTATTCAACACTTTAAGAAGATGGGATGCAGACAGTTTTCACTTTGGAGAAAGTCAAAAGGCTCAATTGTTTTCAGCTTGGTTGCAGAATGAATAGTGCACTGAACTGTGAGGGGCACTTCTTGAACCTCCACTGCAGTATTGACCCTTCACCAGTGGGGGGGCAGTCCATTTCTCACCTTATAGGTCACAGAACCAGCAGAGTTTCACAGTGGGGGGTGGGCGATCCAAGCTGCCACCAACTTGTTTCCTGACTCGCTGTGTGACATTGGCTTCCTATCACACAGAAGCTTTATTAAATATTCCTCAGCAGAAATGAGCTTTTAATATCACTGACACCACAAATGTATTAAGAAATATGGAAAAATGAGATCTGGCAGTGTGCAAGGAGGGGAGGCTTCACTCTAAATATGCCCCACATGGCAGCCATTTATCATTTATAATACTGAAAATGTAATTTAGCAACGTTTTGTAGTTTCATTATACATTACGCTTTAAGAGACACCTACTGACAGAATCAGCCTAATGCTGTCAATTAGGTAATTTATTCCAGGGGATTATGAGAGGGAAAGAGACGAGGTTTCATGTGTTCTCCTAGGCGTCCCTGGTGCCTGCTGTACAGCTAATCTAATACATAACCCCCTGATTTGTTTAATGGATGAGACTTTGCTGCTGCAAGAGGCACGCCAATAAAAGCCGGGGCCCTCCAGAGGCTATTGTGCCTCATAATGATGCCAGACACACAATGTGAGAGTTATGAAGCAATTTTTTATCATGCTGCACATTGTTTTGCTCTGTTGGTGCCGTGCAAGTAAAGGCAATCTCTCCCTGCAGCATAGCACTTCTCCCCCACACTTAGATAAACCTTCAGTATGATAAACAGTTCCAGCCACATGTTGCAGTGATGAATGAAGTTTGAGATTTAAATACGTGTCCTTGTGCTGATCATTTGGTACTTTCTGTTCACCGTTTCTTGTTTTTATTAGATTTTTTTCTTCATTATTCTAGTATAGTTATGTTGAGTGAGACCCACAAACAGACATTTTGTCTCTGGAGAAAAAGAAAGTACTCATATCTAAAAGCCATCGGCCACGTATCACTGACCTCTGTCTGCTTCTGCAAGTCATACAATGTCCTTTGAAAGGAAGATTAACAGTAGAAATTCCAATGTTAATCGAAATATGTCTCAAGAGCAAACACATGGACACACTCTGTTCTATACTGCATTTAGAAAAGAGCAAGCTTTAAGTCTTGTGCATCCATACAAAATACCTGCTGATGGTAGATTGCATCACAGGTCTTACTTTATACCTCTGAGTGCTTCTATCTTTGCATGAATACAAAAAAAAGGTGAAAAAGATTAATGTTTCTTTCATATATATGTATATCTATACTTTCTAAGACAGCGAAAATGCAGAGACATTTTTTACTGTCAAAACAAAAGCAGTTTGTTGAAGAGATAGCACTAAAGTAGTCTTAGGAAGGAAATCTCATCGCAACAATTCACAATATATTATTATTTTTACATGCTGAAGAAATGCCAAATGCCTCATGTACTAAATAAAAATATTTGACAAAGTCGCTATGGTAATTTATTATTTATTTCATTCAGTAGTTATACTTACCCTGCTATGCTGATCATACATACAAAACATAATATTCAAATGACTACTGTTTGGTAATGGGTGGCTCAAACCAGTAACATCTACCAGTTTCTCAATACCAAATACTGTAGACCATGACTTTGGAACTTGCCTTTGGCTTGAATCAAGAGAAAAGTGACACTGTTGCTTACTTTTTGCATCAGATTTGTATGCATAACTTACATGAGCAGGATCTGTACTCATCATGCAAACCAGGAAACATTGCGTAAAAGAGACAAAATGAGAGTATTTGTACAACAAGCCAGTTTGAATCCTCATGGGTGGATCAGAAAGCCAGAGCTCAGAGATGTACAGCAGGAGATTAGTTCATCATTGAAGAATTCAAAATGCAGATCAGTGGATATAGTAGCATGAAGATTGGTAGTGGTTTTGTAAATGTAATTGTCTCCAAAATAAGTGTTGCTGCTAATGATAGATAACTGCTATCAGCAGCCACAATGATGTAATTAATTGCCCTCAGGATTACATGGCATTAGACTTATTGATAGGTTGAGCCATGAAATCCTTATGCAGCGAAATCCTCATTGTACATGTCAATATCAGATGAGATTTTTAAGATAACCATCGACAGACGTTATGCTTGGCTCACACTGTTCAATGCAATATTCTGGATGAGCAGATTTGTATAGGGACATAATGTTTTTATGGCAATTTGTAGTGTAGTGAACATCTTACCGATATACTGCATAAAATAGATTGTTAAAAATACATCTAAATTTAGATATTAGTCTTTCCCCTGACATCAATGATATACTAAAACATATACACCTCAAAATCTCAACTTCTCCAACTTAAAAGGAATAGCTTCTATCAGTATGACCAGTTTTTGCAACATAATTTATCACTAAAGCTAAAAACAACAACCCAGATGCCTCCTTGGAAGAGTCATTTGAGAGTTAACATCAGTGCAGTATTCCAGCTGGGTATGAATCATACAAATTGCCTTTTTTCCTCGTGTAATATATTCACAGTCACTCTACTGAGAAAGAGGAAGCAACAGGGATGATTTGGCTTGGTTGGAGACTTGTTTGTGAGGACAAATCCATGACAATAGAAGGATTTCTCTGAGTGTTATATGCTTATAGCTATTTCCCTTCACATTTTCTCCTCTCAGCAAACTCATATGTTGGCTAAAGAGTCCACTGAAACTCTGACTGGCCTTGCACGAGCCACACTCAGTGAGCAATAAGCCGCGTTAGCGTATTACATACACATGATTACGTGGCCATTTCCTCAGTGAATGAGTCTCATCAGAAGTCACTGAAGAAGCCACTGAGTGTGTAATTGTTTCCCATTAGGGGAGACGTTGACTGCCATCGAGTTGTATCTCACTGCAGAGTTTGCTGACGAATGCTCACTGTCCACTGACTGTATCTGTGCTAATTTTGCTGTGGGTTGTGATGGAATTGCTCACAACCCCAAAACCACCAGATCAGTTTTAGGGTGAGTGTGATGCATCATGTTCCTTTATTTATCTGGTGAGAAAAGAACTGCAGGGCAAGAGTTCATATGTGTGTTGATTCACTGAAGTGACACCAGGCTTTAAACATTATTATCAGTCATATCAATGCCTGCAGCACTAATGTCTCTGTGGCTCGAATGCAGTCAGTACTCTTTACGCTGTGTGACTGTATGGACTTTTAAATTGTTTTATTTGCTACATTTCAGAGGCTTATAGTTTGAGATAATTGCAAGAATATTAGTTTAGTGTTCTTCTGAGCTTACGCTTTACTGAAAGTTATGTGCACATGTTTTCTTGTATTCTAATTTTGACAATT